AACAATGGTTTGTAAACACTTTTATTAATAAATGGGTTGTTTTGAAAATTTTAAATTTGTTGAAATTTTTCGGATGTTACAAGATTTGCTTTTGTTCGATTTCTCAAGAATAAGGAATACAATCATGTTGTGGAAGATCTGAACCGAGTATGGATTGGCAGTCACCATGTTTTCATTGTATGGGCTAGATTCAATAGAGTGGAGTCAGTGAATCGTGATAAACCATAATTGTATAAAATGACGATCAGGTACAATCAAAAAGGTCTCGGATAGAAAAGAATGTGGATATGCCAAAGTCATATATGCCTCTATTGTAGGAAACAAATTTAAAACAGATTGAAGGATTAATATGGATGAGCATTTGACACAAAAAATGAATGGCGCTATGGAAGTCAAAATGAAACTTCAAGATTTTTTTGTAATTCCACATGAAAAAAACTGTGGTAATTGCAAAGGTGAAGGACGCTAATGTCATTGAAAGTATGTATCAGATATGTGATAAGGAAGGTTTCAATGATTTGCACATTGTTTATTTGGTAGGGGATTATATTTGGATTGAATTTAAGAAGCAAATGATGTGTAGTAAATTTATGAACAGTGATGCTATGAAGATCTATTTTTCATAATTAAGCAAGTTTATAAAAAAAATGTATTGAATTTTCGTGCTATTTGGGTTGAGGTCTCGAGTATCCCTCTTAATGTTTGGACTCCTTTAGCTTTTAAGAAAGTTGCCCCATGCTTTGGTAAGGTGCTTTTTATTGATGATGGTGAAGATGAGCCCATTGGATTAGGTATAATTTGTATACAAAAAAAGTCTATGTTAAATTAAAATGTTTCGAATGGTTCAAGTAGAGATGGATAGAGCTAAATTTATTGTTTATGTTTTGGAGATTTCTAACTAGATCTCGTCAATCTCGCACGATGAACAACAAGAAAAATCAGATAGTGATGGGGCTCGGGTTCTGAACATATGTCGGTTTCTGATCCTTAGGAGGTTAATTATGAAAATTCCCCTAAAAAACTCTCCAAATTTTGAAAAATGAGAAACTGAAAAGAATAGTTCTAATGAAATGGTTGATAGTTTTGTTGAAGATGTTTTTTCAAATGAAATTAGAACTGATAGAATTTATACTTATAAAAAGAAGTGGGGGATGTAAAGGATGATGGAAACTTTGTTCTTGAAGAAATTGATAACTTTACAAGAAAGAAACAAATGCCTGATCAGTTGAATGAAAACTCTCCATCGCTATCAAAGTCGTCGGGTTTTAGGAACTTTATTCGTAATGGGTCAAGTTTTGGACAAAGTCTCAATAGGGGAGTGTCAAAGTTATTTGTGTCGAAAGCATCTTTATCTGGCATCTTGAATACAAGAAAGGTGAACTCCCATAGTAATGTTAATATTACAGATATGGATGGAACGTCTTTACTTCATCCTTTGGCTAGACTAGTAGAAGTTAGTAATACTTTAGGTTATAAAATAGAAGGCTGTAATGTGAATATTGAATCTATTGAAAAAGAGAAGGGTGTAAAGCTTGTTGATAAATGAATACATTATCTATAAATGTTTTCGGTTTTTAAAAAAAAGTGAAGAGGAGGAAGATTTCGACCTTAGTAAGATGGGTGTTTCGTCCTTTTCTATTTAAGAAAATCAGATGCAATCAATTGATCTTTTTTTCCTCAGAAGCGTATGGGGTAACTTTTCTTTTGATTTTGCTACTAGTTCTTCTCGCAGGAGATCAGGAGGTATTCTTTCTATTTGGGATCCAACATATTTTATTAAAAAGAAAACTACTTGTACTGAGTATGTTATTGTGCAAGGAGAATGAGGGGTGACTAAATTGAAATGTCTTATAGTCAATATGTACGCCCATCAGGGGGAAGCTAAAATATGACAACTTTGGAGTTTTCTTATTTCTTTTATGCTTTGCAATGAAGGTTCTTATATGATTTTTAGTGACTTCAATACCATATATCAGTGTGAAATAATGGATGCAATTTTTCTCAAAGAATAGTGGATGATTTTAACTCATTTATTTCGGAGTTGGGATTATGTGATATCCCAATTGATGGTTTCGTTTTCACTAAAGTTGGCATTAATGGTACAAAATCTAGTAAACTTGATCGTTTTTGTTGTCTGAAGATGTGGTTTTACATTATCATGAGTTACTTGTAATTGTATCGGACCTTATTGTTTCTTATCATAGACGTATCTATTTATCTCAACAGGTCTATGACTATTGTCCTCGTCCATTTAGATTCTTTATATAACTCCCGTTTCGATTTCTGGTACGTAAATGTTTTCAACTATTCAAAAATAATAATAATTATTATAATTATAATAATAACTAAATAAAAAATAGTTCAAAATAAATCCATTCATTGATTTATTTAGAGTATGTGAGTCAAGGGGTCTTGTGCATTTTACTGGAAAGTTATTTGGGAAGAAAGAATCAAATTAGGGTGGTTTCTATTTATAAGCCAAAGCCGAGGGATCTGTTGTGCCAAAATCTGAAACTTGGAGTTTGATTCAAGAAGCAGCGTCACACAGGTCATCGGGACCATTTTTCTCGATTTGGACCTGCAAGAAACGAATCTTAGGGGGTGTTTGGATAAATTAGTTTTTAGCTTATTAGTGTGTTGCTTATTAACTTATTGCGGTGGGAATAAACACTTTTTTCAAAAGTGTTTGAGGTGGGAATAAGCAATAAGCAATAAGTAAGGGGGAGATGCTTATTAAAATCAGCTTATTTAGCTTATTACCACCACAATAAGCTGATTTTTAAGGATTCCTATCCAAACACTTAAACTTAGCTTATTGTGGTGGGAATAAGCAATAAGCAATAAGCACCCTCTTTTTTCCCTATCCAAACACCCCCTTAGAAATTCGCTCATTCCCCCCCACCCTAAATGTCCTTCCCATTGACCGATCGGATCACTCCCCTTCCTTGTTAGATGTAAGTTCCGTGAGTTTTTAGGCTTTGAACAAGTGATTATCGCATAGGGTTTATGTGGGGAAGAAGACACCTTGAGTTCGATTTCAGCCCCCTCCTAAGGTGTGTTTGTGTCTCATTCACTCCTTGGTACCATTTTGGACTCATTGTCGACAGTGAGGATGCTGGAGCTGCCTCCGGCAGCCCTTAGTTCGCCGGAATCCTTCATTTTGCGGGATTTTGGCGTTTTAAATTGTTGTTGTCGGATTTAATGGGTCACAAACCTTATTAATCATCTCCAATGAGGTCTTTTACCTTCTTTAACATTTAAAGTCAAGTGTGGTCAACTAGAATAATGAATATAGCCTCAAATGCTTATAAATTCTCATAAACACATTTATATTTCGAGATTTTGTGTAGTCAAGTTCAATTCTTTTTAAAAAAGCTCTTGGATTTGTTTTATGTCGTGATTAAGGTTGATAAGATCAATATTTAGCTCATTTGACCATGCTTGGTCTTGTGCTGAAGTCTAGGACAAAGAAAACAACATTTTTATCTTGCGTTTTACCTTAAAAATGCTAGAACCAAAGAGATCCACTTTTGAATGGTTTGGTCCATAAACACTTATTTGAACTAAGTTTTTGCGGTCAAATTAACATAACTCATATCATGTATTACAAGTTTTGTTGGATGTGAGTGCTTAAAACAAAACAAGTAAGCTCCAATTTAGGGTTTTGTGTGTGTGTGTGGTGTGATCTTGGTGTGAGACCTACAATGGTGTTTGGAAACACACATATCCTAACACTTGTATAAAAGTATAAATAAAATACAACATACATATTATCATGAAATCGTCTAAATAGAGTTATTGGTTTGGGATGTAGGTGTTCGGAGAGGGAAAAGCTCGTCTAACTCTCGTCAGTAGGGTTGTTAAGATTCAACTTTAATTCAGATGAGTTTTCTCACTATACTATATATTACAGTACATGTCCTAGTGTGTTAGGATGAGGTTAGACCGTGGTATGTTGTTAGGTAGGTAGACTTGTAGATTGTTACATGTGTTGCAGAGTTGTCTGTTTATTTTTTATTATGCATATGTCGACATATTTGTGATGGGTTGAGGCATCCAACTCTGTGCAGATTGCAAATAGAGCGAGCAGTACAACTATAGGCTGAGAACCAATAAAGGGGTGAGTTGATGACAAGACCAGCACGTTGACGACGCAACAAAGGTCGCTTGGATTATGATTGCAACCATGGAACCTAATCTCCAGAAGACCTATGAGCACTATTGGCCCTATGAAATGAACCATGATTTGTCTAAAATGTTTCTCAATAAAGCTAGACAAGTGCATTATGCAGTTATCAAGGCCTTCATGGTGTGCAAATTGAAAGATGGGGAGCCTGTGTGCGCTCATGTGTAGAAAATGCATAGGCACATGGAAAGATTGGAAAAGCTCAACGTAAACTTTGAAAAGGAGCTTGCCATTGATATAGTGCTCAATTCCATGCCCAGTAGTTATGATTAGTTCATCCTGACCTATCATTTGAACAATATTGAGACCATGTTGATTGAGTTTCACAATCTATTGCTGACAGCTGAAGAAGGAATGAAGAAATCTCATTCCAATTGATGTGATACTAGACCTTCCGTATGGGTGACGATGTCTTGAGTGGATGAGTTTCGGTGGGGATCTGTAATCACAACAATAGAAACATGTCGCCGGCCGATCTCCGGGAAATATATATATATATATATATAATATATATATATATATATATATATATATATATATATATATATATATATATATGTGTGTGTGTGTGTGTGTGTGTGTGTGTGTGTTTGTATGTGAGAGGGAGAGAGAGAGAGAGAGAGAGAGAGCATAGTGTAAGGTATAGAGAATGGGAGTCCATCCCTTTACCGTTGGAGGCTAATGGCCTTTCATAGTGGTGAACTGGGCCCGGATCCCGCTCGTGGAGAGAGGGTTGTCAGGCCCCAAGCGGGACGGAGGAGCTGATTGGAGGATCGTACCTTTGTCCCCTGCATAAGCCGTGAAAGGCTTAGTCATGGTAGTGATACGTGCACCTTCACTGGAGTTAGCAGGTGTCGATTTGTCTCCTGCTGACATTCCTGGACATCTTCCAGCCGGCCATTGGACACTGGGGCTAGTCCAACGCGGGCTGAAAAAAGGATGGAGTGGCCAGGGTGGCCAGTTGTCCGGCTAGGTATCTAGTGGCTCTGGCCCCTGGAAGGCGTGCTATCAAGTCTCCCAAGTCTTATCCATTAGGGTGTAGGTTTGCTTATCCGTAACGGATGAGACTATCCTGGAATGCGGTGTCCCAATTTTATTGGTACACTTATCAATGGAGAGGGTTTTGACCCTAATTCGCTCCAAATCCATAAGAATTTTACGGGTTTGGATTTTAATTTTCGATTCGTTTACCCGTTTATGGCCCATACCCTCTTAACCTTTTAGTAAATGGGTTGGGTATGGATCATTGTCGATTCGTTCCATTTATTACCCGCCCTATATATATATATATATATATATATATATATATATATATATATATATATATATATATATATATATATATATATATATATATATAACACCAAAGTATGGAACTCTATGTCAGAGTAAAATGTAATTCTTATTTTATTGATTTTGAATATTAAGTAACGTATATATTGTGTAAGTACATATTTTAACTTTTTTGAAAAATATTACTTTGTGGCACATCATTGTGAAATTGTAATGTTGAAAAATGGTCAGGTTAACGGGTCGGGTATTCATTGATTCGGTGGATACTGGTATGGATTCGATTATTTAAAACCCTGAGGGTTATTGGAGCAGGGCGGGTCATGTTTTTGAATTTTTTTAAAGGGTTTGGATCAAGGGTGATTCGCTCCAAACCCACCCCATTGACAAGTCTAATGATTGGTTCCTGGATTTTCGCCTACACTTCGCAACAATTTCTTCGGCGGTGACGTCAGGCGTCGTCATTAGGGTTTTCAAATTTCCCGCTTGACGTTTTCCCTTATAACTTCCGTCCCTTTTGGGTTTCCCTCTTCTACTTCGACCACACTTTACCTCGGTTCTTCTTCTTGTTTTTCTTCTTTCTGTTAAGGATTCTTCGATCAGTGTTGTTCGGCTCCTGATCAGTTTGATGCCCTCCAGAAGAAGTATGGGCTCCATTTGGAGGATGGTGTGGCATTTCTGGGGGGAGGATGCAAGCTTCATAAATCCTCCCAAGGGGAAGATTGGCATCTATGTGAAGCAATTCAATGTCGGGTAGCGCTTGCCGACGTTGGACTTTTTCCGAGAGGTTCTTTATCATTAAAAAGTCCATATCAACCAACTGGTATCTAACGGTGTAAACAAAGTGGTTGCCTTTGAAATGTTGTTTCGTGCCAATGAAATTATCCCCGATCTGTGGGTGTTTCGTTACTTTTTCCGTTTTGCATCAACTTCCTCTGGTGAGAGTTATACGCTTGTTGTTCGTAAGCATAGTCATATCCTTATGGCTGATGAGAAGAATTCGCCAAAGAACTGGTCTAGTCGTTATTATTGGGTCAATATTGATCGTGTGGGTTTCATGGACCGTCAGACAACTCTGATTTCTGATCAGTCCTTTGGGCTTTACTTCGATAAGGAACAGATGGCTAAGGTTTTGTGTTCATTTCAAGTGGTTGGTAAGGATTTTCCAGAGTATGTGCTTGTTGGTGCTGGGATGACTACAATGTAGAGACTTCGTAGGAAAATGTCGGAGTTTTATTTCACCGTAAAAGGTAACTTATTGTTATTATCAGTGTAGTTAATTCTCCTTCTCCCCCCACCCCCTTCTTTTTTTGAAATGAACAAACAGGTGACGTATGTTTTGTTGTAGGTGTCGAAAAGAGATGGATTTTCTTGATGTGTTTGCTAAAAAGTGGGCAGGGAGTCTTTGGTATCGAGAAGTGGATATTGTAGACAAAGTTTTGCCTTCCTTTCCCTTTTGTAATGAAGCTTTTATTGCTCGAGTCATGGTTATACAGGAGGTTGAACGATGTCAGGCAGTTGTGCAGTCTTTTCGGTCTGCTTATATCGATCCAGTGGGTGGGGAAGGTACTCTTGAATCTTCTAGAAAAGGGGGTGTTGATGAATAGCTTTTTGAAGATAATAAAGATGGATTTTTTTCATTGGTTAATAAGCGCAAGGCGGCTTGGCAGAGTGTGAGAAATGATGATACTAAGGGGTTTGCCCTTGTGCAGCATTTGCATCCGCATCGGCTTGCTAGTGATGGTGTTAGAGTGGTGACTGTCCAGAATGAGGTGATTGATATTTCTGATGATGTGAATGTAGAAAAGAACGTTGTGTCCGATGTGAATATGTTTATTATGATGCTCCTTCTGTTGTGTTTCCTAACGTTTCTCGTCATGAAAATGTTGTTGGTGGGGGTGGTGTTGGAGGTGCGCAATTTATTGGGTTTGGTCAAGTTGGTTATGGGTTGAACTATGGGGACGAGGGTCAAGGATCGAGTTCTATTAGTTTTTGTCCTCATTGGTCCTTGAAGGAAGATTCACGTCTTTCTTTATTTGAGACAACATTTGACTTTACCAAGAATGTGTTGCTGCCTCGGATGATCGTTAAGATGGGTGGTTATTAACTATTTGATTTTGTTGGGTCACTCCGTTTTGCTGCGACACAAAGTGCTTGCTTTTTTGTTGAGGGTGCGAACTGTTTAGAGCGATTTTTTTTGGTGGATGAAGAGAGAAACCGGTTGCGAAGGGAGATGCATACCCTTCGTCCGTAGCATTCCATGTTACTATTTGCCAGGTCGGAGATGCAGACCAAGATTGCTCAATTGGAGCATAGTCTGAAGGAAGTTACGGAAGAAAAAATCGTTCTGATGGGGAAATTTATGGGCCTAGAACGTGACAAAGTTTCCCTTAGTGTTGTCGTTGGCCAACTAAAACATGAAAATGAGGGCTTGAGCATCCAGTTGAAAAGTGTGGCGAGGGATTTGTTGGAGAAGGACCGTCCGGTTGAAGAGAAGGCTGGCGTAGTTGAGTGTTTGGAGGTTGATGTGACATCCCCGTTTTCACGGCCTTTTTAAAACCTTTTGTTTATTCTTTTTAAAACATTTGTTATTCCGAAATTGGTCCCAAAATATGCTTGATACGATATAATATCAAATCAAGGCATTTCATAAGAAATGTTTTTCATTTATATTTTAAAAACTCGAGATGTCATAACTGATATAATAAACATAAGCATAAATGGAGACTTACAAAATCTCAATACACTAACGATCTACATCTCCTTCAATCTCTCAGCAGATAATTACATTATATATCAGTATCTTCGTATCGCCACCTGTGATACAAGGAAACTGAGTGGCTAAGGTTGGGAAACGTAGTGAGCACATAGGGTTTCAACCCACACTATTATTATTATATTGTTTTAAGTATATATAACACAACAAACAGATTAATCCCAATTACCCATTCCTGTTATTCTCACTCTTTGATCCCTAATGATAATCTCAAGGGTCATATCCTAAAGGATCTTTGTAACAACGAGTAGGCTACACTACTTCGGGGATTCCTTAGCAATGCATGTATGTAAGGCAACCATGAGCGGGACAGAATACTCGAACGAACACACAATCCATACTCTCGGATAGTATGATTCATTAACACCTACAGATTGCGAGTCTACTAGTGCCCCACTGAACTATCTAGAAGAGTCTGTGGTCATCATCAATACTCTGCTAAATGATTGCTCTTAGTTGGGCGTGGTCTCTCACCATTAAATTATCTCTGGTATGGTCCCCCACCATTATTCTATCTCTGGCATGGTCTCTTACCATTATATTATCTCTGGCATGGTCTCTCACAATTATATTATCTCTAGTCTCCTACTATTATCTCTTCTCTCTCTTTACCCTTTTTACCTGACATAATATAAGTATAACAAAAACACACAATTTACTACGAGTAAACTCATTATCTCGTTTAGCAGAATTATCAGGAACACAGATAATAAACACATAGGGTATCTAAGCAAATTAAATACTTGATATATATGTGTAAGCTGAAAGTAACTATGCACTCACCTGACAAAAGTAGGTGACTCGGGGTTAGGGCAGCGCTTCGCCTTAACACTTCTCAAAGGCCTAAACGTATAAAGCACTAAGTCTTAGTCTTATATTCCTGGCGAGTAATAATAGTCTAGATTCCTTACTAATCTCTTTATCTATATCAAGATCTATCAAGTAAGGAACAAACAAGGTAGGATCATATCGAAAGTAGGGTCCGTTTGGTATACAAAGTATACTTTTTGGAAATCCAACTTTAAACACCTCACTAAATCCGGCATAGACATCATCCCCGTAAGTAGATCAATAAGTATAATGACTTGAAATTAATTATAAATCTTAATTATAGGTTCACAATAACGACTATGACTATAATTAAAAGTTACACTCGAAGAAAATAAGCGTAGTTAAACTTACAAAGTACACTGATGAAAGCTGGGAATTGAGCGGGCAAAACACTGAATCGAGAGCTTCTAATTGTTGGCTATCTGACACCGCAGGGCTTCGCCAAAATTACCGGGAACTAGAGAGTAACTGGACTAAGGATTGGAAAGAGCTCCATAGAGATTGAGTGGAAAGGTGTGAGAAATGAGCTGATTTCCAAGGGTTTATATAGGTTGAATTGTGGTGCGCGTCCCACACCATGTCCCCTGTGCACCACGCATCTGGTCGGCCAGGGTGATGTGTCGATCAATGGGTGGTGCCATGTGTCATCTTTTGGGTGGAGTGCCAGTGTGCACTGCACAATCTGTCGTTGTGTGCGAGCGCACACGGGGAATTTCTGTTTCTTAGAAAATTCATATATTCTTAATACGAGCTCCGTTTTCAAGGGGTTTTATATCCACGTGTAGCTATCGACGAGATCTAATTTAGACTATGTCGGCTAATTTTGACTTTATTTTTAAAGTTATATTTTTAACATGCTTAGACTGTTAAAGTATGTTAAAAACTCATAACTCTCTTATATGACATCCATTATCGACTGTCTTTTTATCGATGGATATGCATTGATGAGATCTCAACTCTCGTTTAGATTGTTTTTCCTAACAATCGACCGATTCCAATTTCAGTTTCAAAGCCATATACTGTTATGCTGAAATATTAGAAAAATCATAACTTCCTCTCACGAAGTCTGATTTGGGTTTTCTTTATATGTGTGGAATCCTTGTCACATATACTATAAATTGGTTTAGGTTAAGATTATTTATCCTAAATAATCTTCTGTCAAAATGTCGTTTTATCTCTTATTTGACTAGCCCGTATCTACGGGTTTTATAACTAATTTGAATTGGGTTATGAAGGAGGTTTTGTCAGGTGTAGTAGATCAGGTGTTGGAAAGCAAAGAGTTTGGTTGTGGGGTGAAGCGATTTCCTAATGCTTGTGTGGATGCGGGGAAAGCGTTAGGTGTCCATGAAGCGAAGGAATTGGTGCAGGGGGTGGCCATTTGGAAGATTTTCCTGAAATATCGGTGGATTGTGAGGTTGTTATGGATGAGGCTTTAAATGCTTTGGCTTATGTGGACTACACTTCAGTGTTGGGTTTGAGGGGAGCTGGATGTTAACGGGTTGAAGCGTATGATGCACCCTGGTGATGGTGTTGGTTCGTCTTAGGGCGTATGTACTTTGTATTTTGCTTTTGTCGTTTTTGTGTTGAACAATTGGTATGTTTGGCCTTGATTTAATGTATGGCATGGATATTTTGGTATGGTTTGTTATTTTGCTTTGTCAATTAGTTTGTTCTTTGCATGGCTTCATCCTTTGTTTAATATCCCTTGGTAGGTCATAGCATGGCCTTCTAGACTTTTGTGTTGTTTAGAACCATTTTTGCACGTGTTTTGGTGTCCCATTTTCTTAGGATTGTTTGAGACCCTTTGCCAACTTGTTCATGTCATGGATCAAGTCGTTAGCCTTTAAGTTTTTGGGCAAGTCAAGGCTAGGGGTTTCAGATTCTTTTTCCATTTTTGGGATATAATGTCAAGGTATTAACCTTTATACTTTTTGGTAGGTCAAAGTCACGGGCTTTGGAACCGTTTTCCGTATATGATATTAGGTCGAGGAATTGGCCTCTAGACTCTTTGGCAGTTCAAAGCCAGGGCCTTTGGAACCGTTTGATGTATATGATATTAGGCTTAGACCCAAGATAAACTAGGACCCAGAGCCGAGAAGTGTATTTTCATTGGTTACCTACAAAAGTCCTTTGGATACTTTGTTTTATAAACCTAGTGACAACGTAGTCTTTATAGCTCCAAGGGGAGTCTTTCGCGAGAGAGATCATTTCCAAAGAGGGCAGTAGGAGTACGATTGATCTTGAATAAATTCAAGAGTCATCCAATGAAGGAACGTCCGAGGACATTAGCTCTCAACCTGAGGCTGAACCTATTGAGCCTATTTACATCTTCGTCGATCCGGTAGAGTTAACGCACCGCCTGAGTTATATGGTTTCCATATAATGGTAGATGAGGATACATTTATCAGTGATAACACATTGGTAAATTTAGATGAGCTGGTTAACTAGAAGGAAGTGATAGCAGGCCATGAGGCTACTAAATAGAAAGAGGCAATGGACAGTGAGATCCAATCCATGTATAATAACCAAGTATGAACCTTGGTTGATCAAGAACCTGGTCGAGAGACTATAGGTTACAAATGGATCTTCAAGAAAAATATAGAAATGGATGGTAATGTACAGACCTTCAAGGAAAGGTTGGTTGCTAATGGATTTACTTAAACCCAAGGGATTGACTATGATGAGACCTTTTCACTAGTTGCTAAGAATAAGTCCATTTAGGGTAATGCTTTCCATAACTGCTCATTATGACTATGAAGTATGGAAAATGGATGTAAAAACTGCTTTCCTTAATGGGAAACTGATTGAGGATGTTTATATGGCTTAACCAGAAGGTTTTGTGCATGCCAAATTCCCTAATAAGGTGTGCAAGATTGAGAAGTCCATATATGGGTTGAAATAAGCATCTCATATCTGGAATCTTTTCTTTCATGAAAAGGTCAAAGAGTTTTAATTTTCTAGAAGTGAGGATGATTATTATGTATATGTCAAAGCTAGTGCGAGTATAGTGACCTTTCTAGTCTTGTATGTAGATGACATACTCCTAATAGGAAACAGTGTTCCAACTTTGTAAGAAGTTAAGTCTTGGTTTAGGAAATATTTCACTATGAAAGATCTAGGAGAGGCTACGTATATTCTTGGAATAAGTATCTACATGAACTGACATAAATGCTTACTAGGACTTAGCCAAAGTACATACTTGGATAAAATATTGAAACGTTTCAATATGGAGAACTCCAAGAAAGGGGACTTGTCCATGCATCATACTGTAAAATTGAGCAAGGCCCAATGTCCCAGTAGTGATAAGGAAATAGATACTATGAGTCGAATCCCATATGCTTTGGCAATAGGATCGAGCATGTGTGCTATGACATGTACTCGACCTGATGTGGCTTATGCTTTGAACGTGGTTAGAAGATATCAATGGAATCTTGGTTTAGCTCATTGGATTGTAATGAAAAACATTCTTAAGGATCAATAATAGTGGCTTATGCTTTGTGTGCTATGACATGTACTCGACCTGACGCCAGTTTTCAAACAAATCGATATGATAGTTATTCTCAATATGGTTGGGTTTTTCTATTAAATGGTGGAGCGGTAACTTGGAAGAGTTCCAAGCAGTAAACACAAGTTGATTCTACTTGTGAATCAAAGTGCATCGCAGTAAGCAAGCCGGAAAAGGAGGCCATGTGGTTGAAGAAATTTATTGGAGATCTTGGAGTTGTTCCATTAATTCAGGAACCAATGGAGATTTTGTACAACAACAAGGGTGTGGTGACTTTTGACCGAAGAACCTAAGGATCATGGTAGACCCAGGAACATCGAGAGAAAATACCACTACATCAGACATAAAGTAGAAGAAGCTACACTCCTGGTGAATCGCGTGTCATCAGAAGAGAATCCTGTTAATCCTCTCACAATGGGATTAAGCAAAGTCAAGCACTTCGAGCATGCTAGGAGCATGTTACTTAGAGATAATATTAGATTTTAGTAGTTAGTTGAGTGTAGAAATAATAAATTGTAACTGAATGGTGATTAATTAAATAAAGATTTATTTATGTTCAAAGTGTGTGATGCCATTTGTCAATTAATTTATTTTTGTGTTTCACTTTGCATGTTTTACTTCCAGAATATTAATTTATTCAAAAAGTCACATTCAGTCATACTTTGGGAGTAAGTATTGATTTAAGACTATCATGAATCGTTTGTAGATTGTCCATAGGGATTGGACATTGCATAGGATTGCTCCAAAATTCATGAGTACTTATAAAATGGGGATTTTGAGTATTGGTTAAACTCATGCTTAGAGATTACTTCATGGATTTATTCACGAGTAATTCTAAGAATATAATATCTTCTATTCTTAAAACATAGATATATAAGTCATATTTTACAAATCAGTTGTGCATGGGTTTACTCCAACACATCTCGTAACTGGGTGTTATAAAGTGTAATATTGTACATGATTTGGTGGGTAAAATGTATGATTATATAGTCAAAATTTATTCGTTCCTTTTTCCTTAATAGGAAAAGCGATATCTTTGGGGCCCTCGGTGATTTGATGTTGACATTATAGTGTTGGGCCCAGCTGGGACTAAATTGATGTGTTCAATTAGTAATTTGATGACGTCATCACAAATCGGGAAATCAGGAAACAGAATCTTGGGCAATAAGATTGTTTTAAATCCATGTCTCGTGTCCATACGATATCAAGAAGAATGAAGGGATAGATGATCACTTATCTTATGACCAACGTCTAATTATAGTTTGACAGTGTCTTTGGAAAACATTATTTACTAGTTATTCGGAGTTGCACTTGCAATTGTAGTTAGCGATTTATCCAAGTGGGGGATTGTTGGATTAAGGTGTCTAAAGTCCTAACTAAATTGGCATAATGTTGATGAATAAAAGTAAAGTCCTTTTGGGTTGCCCTTATAACCAAGAAATGGCTTGGATTGATTGTATGAGAGAGAGAGAGAGAGAGATGATTTGTTAATATATTATATCATTAATATATTAATTAGAAATTGTAATAATTCATTAAGAATTAATCAGAACTAATTTAGAATTATTTATGGATTAATTAGAATTAATTAAAGGTACAAGTACTAAGTTGTAATTGTTTAAAAGTTGAACAAGAGAAGGATTCCAGAACCTTCCATCAGATGGAAGATTTTGGAGGACCCTATTAGGGTTCTGGAAGCCTCCATTTGATAACTAAGAAACTAAATAATTACTGAATTTGAAATATTATTATTATATGTTCAAATTTAGGGTTTCTAGAGTTTCCAAGCAGCTACAAATAGGGTCTTAACCCTATGTATTTTTGGTTGACCTATTACAAAGTTCAAATCTAAAACTTTCTTCTCTTTCCCCTCTCTCCTCTCAATCTTATGGTTTTGTGTGTTGTGGGTGTGAAACATTAGAGGCTCGCATACTTTTGGAGCTAGGTTTTCCAAAGAGACAACAAGGTTTTGATTAGCTTGATTGGAATCATCAAAAGGTATGTATCCCTAACCATTAATTTCAATTCATAGGGTTTTAGTTTGTATTTTCATAAGTATGTTATTACATATGAAAAAGACATAGATCCATATTAGGTTGCATGTATCATTAAGAGTTAAGAGATTTTCCGCATGTACAAATGTTTTTAACCTAAAATCCCCAACAATTTCTACGGGTCAAATACCCAATTGCTACTATGAGATGGATCTCATATATGGATGGATGCTTTTATACATGTTCTTGTCCGGAGAACCAGAAGGTTTGATTTGTACTCAAACTTCTTTGCTTGGGAGCGAAGGATTGGTGGAGGTTCACGACTCAGGCCTATTCTCATGCAGAGCAAGCCGCAGTGACTTGGGAGCAGTTATTGGAGATGTTCCATACTAAGTATGTTCCACTTGTTGAGAGAGAGAGAGAGAGCGGTTGGAATAGGAGTACCTGTCACCGATATCACAAGGATGTTCCATGATAGGGACCTATTTATCCCTAAGTACGCATCCTCGAAGCAGTTGCGGATGACCCTTTACTTGAGTATGCTCAAGATTGAGATTAGGGAGTTCGTGATGAATACCTTGTAGCAGACATTGGCTGAGCTGCAGTCCAATGATAGGAGGAGAAAGATTGAGATGGAGACACACATTAGAGAGAAGAGTCACGTACTAGTTTAGTCATAGTCGGTGACTAAGCAGTTCAAACCCGCTGATTCGAGATCTGGAGGATAGAGGTGTCATACTTGCAAAAAGTACGGGAAGACTCATGAGGATCTTTGTCGGACAGGGTCAGGTTGCTACAAGTTTTTCTCACAATTCGAGGGATTTACCTCAAGGGATGCGGGTTTGCTTCAAATGCAACCAGATGGGCCATGTGAAGGTTGATTGTCCACTACTTACAGCAAGATCGGTGCAGAATCCAGCTCCTACAACTTTGTGGA